GATTTGATTTAATTTGTGAGTTGATTTAATGCTGTATTTACTGGGTATGTATGGTGTAATGAGCTGGTTAATGATTTTAGTTAATGGGGATTTGGGATATGATAGGATGGAGAGGGAAGTTAAGTTTATGTATTTTCATCATTCCATACCCATATCCTAGTTTGTAGTCAACAATTATTTTGGGAAGTTTTAAGTTGTTTTGTTCTGCTTTGTTGGTTGTGATTAGTTTGTGGATTTTCAATTTCAGTTGGTTAATCAGATTTTTGTTGATTTTTTAAAATTTGGTTCGATCGTCGAGTATTTGTTGTATTTTTGAATTATAATCAGATTTATTTAATACAATGAAAATATTGGTTTTATCTGCTTTTTTAATAATTATGGTTATGTAGCTCCTTGGCAGTGATTTATAATTGTTTTTTTTGGAGCTTGGACAATTTTTTCTTTTATTATATTTGTTTTTTATTGCTTCAGTTTTGAATTTCTGGTTTTGCTTTTATAAGTTGTTGTTCTTTAAGTTTTGACAAGATTAAAATAAAAATAAATGAACATAATATATCTCGATTATTCAGCCAAAGATGCTTGAATGAAGATATGCTGCCTATATATATATATATATATATATGAAGATATGCTGCCTATATATATATATATATATATATATATATATTTAAATGCTTACTGCTCATTGTTGCAGACTGCGCATCAACATGAGATATTATCATGTTAATTTTATGAGCTTTCTCTTCCATGCTGGTTCAAGGTATGTTGGAAGAGTGTGTTTTGAAGATTTTCCTTCAGTTGGTTGCTAATTCTTTCTGTGGTAGACTGGTTGCCAACCAAAACTATAGAACCCAGTCTGTCCTGTTATTCAACCCATAGCTGAAAGTAGAAGAAATGAAATTTCCCAAGGGTTTTCTGTTTGTAAGTGAATGTAATGAACTCAACTGGAATTCAAACTCTACTTCACAATTCCTCATGCCATTACACCACAATGCACATCCATATATATATATATATATATATATAGAATATGTCACACACACATATATAACACCAATATATATATATATATATATAAGAAAGAGGTTGTAATGGTTCCAATGAGAGTAAATGATGTATATTAAAAAAAGAAAGAAGAAAGGCGCCACAAACGTTTTTGGTTGTAATGCATTTTTTTAGAAAAAAATATTATTATTTTCCATAATTTCCACTTTTACCTGAAGACGGTCACAAGACCAGAAACTCGTGTAGTAAAATTATGGAAAATAAAGCATAATATTTTTTCTAAAAAACACATTACAACCAAAAAAACGTTTAATGCATCGCCTCTTCTTCTTTTTATATATATATATATATATATATATATATATATATATATATATAAGTATAGGATTGGTGTATATGAAATAAATTTCAATAACCAAAAATTCTATTCTTAAATGAGTGCTAATACAGAGTAGAAACAAATATAATTTATTCAAAAATTATAACATAAACATGTTATAAAATCACTACTATGTTTATGTTATAATTTTCAAATAAATTATATATATATATATATATATATATATATATATATATATATATATATATATATATATATATATATTTGAATAAAAGACAGACCACGTTAAGATTCCATGTAATAAAGCTATTACACCATAACCCCTTTTTCAGGATTCTGGATCATCAGACTTTATGATCCAAAGCTGAAATGAAATTTTCATTTCAGCTTTTGAAATGGAATCTTTAACGTGGTCTGTCTTTTTATTCAAAACATATCTGCTCTGAATTTTACATTGAGCTCTCTGGATATCATCCTCCTCAGGTCTACCCATACGGATGACCTAAATTTGCATAAACTATATATATATATATATATATATACAACTCCAAAAACAAGCCCCCCTTGAAAATCTCTAAAGAAATGAACAAAGATGCTTGAGACAATGAAAATTATGGAAAATTTCTGTACTCCCTTAGTCTTACAAAACAAAAATATTTAATGAAAGATGTTTAAAAGAAAGGTTGCAGCCTAAATATGTATATGTATATGTGTGTGTGCATGTATATATATATATATATATATATATATATGAATAAAGTTTGATGTGAATGGTAATATGTATCTAATGCATTCTTTCTAGTATAGTCTTGATCCCTTCAGCCATTACACTTGACATCACTGTAGACTATTTCAAATTTTCAGTTATTTAAAATATCAGTAAACCAGCAGAATCTTGGCTTCCCAACTGATAACACATGGCTCTTGATAATGACTGAGACAGTTGAAAGTATCTGAAGCAAAACAACAGACATAAACTTTGAACAGTTTATCCACAATTTTGAACCTAATATCCAACATCTTATTCAAAATTGGAAAAATACAATAAGAAATTAAACAGACAGTTGACATTGATTGGTTGAATTCTATAAAACTTGTTTGGATGAATACTCACTGCCTAAATATAATTTACACAAACACATGAAGCTTATGATACAAATATTGATTATAATATATAATATAATGATACCATATTGTTTCAGTCTATCTTTTTCTTTTTAAAATTTTTAAATGGAAAATTAAGGTATTTACTTACTTTTTTCTATTTATTAAAACTTAAATAGAACAAAAGACAAATATTGGTTTCACACCAAGTTTTTTTATTCAAAGATTTGAAAAGCTAAAGTTAAAATCTTTGGCAATATTTAATATCTTACACCAATTGCAGAAAGAAAAGAAAATTAATAATCAACACCAAATTAATGCATAAACAAAAACACTTTTTTGTCTATTTTTAAATAGACAATTGATGAAAGAATTAATGTAAAAAATAAATGTAAAAAAATAATATAAAATATTTTTCAAAAATAATGCAAAAAAATAAATAAAAAAAATTTTAAAATGTAAAAATAAATAAAATTTTTTTCAAAATGTCAAAAATAAATAAAAAATTAAAAAATAATGTAAAAAAATAATATGAAAAAAATTAAAAACATAACAAATAATGTAAAAATAACAGTAGAAGAACAAAATAAGTAAAAAATCCTAAAAAATATAATGAAAATTCAGTGAAATATGAAAGAAAAAAAGACAAACTAAAAAGCAATAAATATAACTCTACCAACAAAAAAGATTAGATTACAAAGAAAAGTGTTTCAGAATTAAAAAAATAAAAAAGGTAAAATCTCTTAGGAATTTTGGATGCAAATCGTATCCAAAAATAATAATTTTTAAAGAAATTTAATTTCAGAAAAACAAAATGAAGAAATAATTGAAAAAAAAGGAAATAAAAATTATATTTATTTACTTATTTATTTATTAATAGGGTAGTGCAAAAATGGCAACAAAAATAAATGCAGAGGAGATGGAAGATGTTGCAAATAGGAGTATAAGAAAGCTGATGAGGAAAGTGAGTGTGTGAAGGGGTGAAACAGGATGGGGAGAGTGAGTGGGGTGGTGGGGAGTGCTGGGAGTGATGAGGAGGGGATGAGGGATAGCCCAGGTAGTGGAAGAAGTCTAGAGGAAAATTAAGTGAAAACAAAGTGGATAGGCAGAGCATAAAAAAATAAAATGAATGTAAAATTCAAATAAAAAATAAAAAAAAGTTTCTCATTCTTTATTCAATGGCAGAAGTTATATAAACAAAAGATTAAGAACAAAACATGCATATATGAGTATATATATATATATATATATATATATATATATATATATATATATATATATATATATATATATATATGCATATTTAATGTATGTCTGTATGTAAAAAAAAAAAACTCCCAATTCAAACAACACATGGACACAATCATTTGATTTTATTTCCCATTGGATTTTGTTTGTCTGTTCCCAAATTCTGGCCATATGATTCCTCCACCTGCAGGACAAACTTCCTCAGAAAACTGAAAAAAATACAAAAATAAATAAATAATTTTTTATTTTTTCTCCCCACAAAATGGTTATTTTTTCTTTTTTCTATACCTTTAAACAAACAAGTAGCGGTAAAAATATGTCTGCTATAGCTACCAGCAAGCATGAAATTACACCATTTCATTTTTTTAATCTGCACAAGGAGCTTATTTTTTTTATTTATTGGTTTATTTGTTGTTGTTGTTGTTGTTGTTGAATGTCACATTATGTGTGCCATTTCAAGAATAATAATGCAACATAAAAGCTTGACTAGAATCACAGGCAAACGTAATATTGTCCAAAGAACACCTGACACAGGAAAAATTATCCATTCACAGATATAATCAGAAAAGTGTGCCTGAAGAATATCAAGCTTTAACTTTTATTTTATTAAAGAACAAAAGAGTCCCAATTTCTTTTTCATTCTTTAAGATTAACAATGGTTCATTTCTATGAAAAGAAATTTTCATATGAAGGACCCAGATTTATGAGATCGTTTAACATAAGCAGCAATTTCTTTAGAATTGTATGAATATAAGTTATTTTCATGGAGAGTAATATGTGGGAGAGTTTTTGTAATTGGTAGATAATAAATGCAACTGAAGTGAGGGATGGATGTAGGTAATGTTTTGGGAAGGCAAAAATAGAACGAGGAGGGGGAAAGTGGAAGTATTCTTAATGAATTGAGAAAAAAAAGAAGCAAGTAAAAAGTGATTGGATTATAGATGACATGCAAAAATAGAAGACATGTTATGAAATATGGAAAAAGAAAAAGAAAAAAAAAGAATTAGGAAAATCAGACAGAAAAAAGATAACTTTTTTAAAAAGTGGATAAAATGATGTTAGTAAATGAAACTGAAAAGACGAAGAATTTAGAAAAAAAAGATGAATTAAAGAAAGAATAACATGACAAAATGAAACTGTAGAAATGAATGAAAAGAAAGGAGTAACAAAAATATTTGTTGAAAGAATGAAAGTAAAAGAAACAAAAAGAAAAATTAGGAAATAAAAAAGACAAAGAAGAAAGAAAAAAGAAATTGAGAAAAATATAAGAAAAGACATAAAAGAAGAATGAAATAAAAAAAGCCTATGAAGAAAGAGAATGAAAAAGAAAATGAGAAGGAAATGGGAAAAGAATTAGAAGAATGAAATTAAAAAATGATGAAGAAAGAGAGCGAAAGAAAATGAGAAAGAAAAGAATTAGAAGAAGAATGAAAAAAGACTATGAAGAATGAGAACAAAAAGGAAAACAAGAAAGAAAATAAGAAAATAAGAAGAAGAAGAATGAAATAAAAAAAACCCTATGAAGAAAGAGAACAAAAAAAATGAGAAATAAAATATGAAAAGATTGAGGAGATGAATGAAATAAAAAAAGACAATGAAGAATGAGAATGAGAAAGAAAAGAATGAAAAGAAGAATGAAATAAAAAAGACTTTCCAAAAAGGGAATGAGAAAGAAAATAAGAAATGTATGAGAAGAATGAAATAAAAAAAGTTCAAAATAAAAAGAATGAAGAAGAAAAGAAAATAAGAAAAGAATGAAAAGAAGAATGAAATAAATAAGACTATGAAGAAAGAAAATGAAAAAGAAAATGAGAATGAAAATAAGAAAAAATTAGAAGAAGGAAATAAAAAAGATTAAATGCTAGTGGCATGCCACCCAGTGGCAGATTGGTGGCTTGCATGTAGGGTGACTGAGAGAAACAATAATTTTGATATTTAAAAGTTTTACTCCATAAATTTTTATTATATTTATAGTCTGAACATTCAAATATTATTTGCGTTTATTTCATGAAATATGAAGGAAACATTTATTAACCATTTCAAAATTTTTAGTTCTGGTTCTTTGGTACCTTTAGTTCTGATTCTTTGGTACAATTAGTGCTGGTTCTCTGGTACCTTTAGTGCTAATTCTTTAGTATCTTTAGTTCTGGTTCTCTGGTACATTTAGTTCTGGTTTTTTGGTTATCTTAAGAGACTCAAACAAACAATAATGCTTGAAATATATATTTGACAAGCTAATTCCACACTTTCATTTTGTATTGAAATATGATTCTGAAACTAACAAAGATATTTACTAAAGAATTTCTGCAAGCCTTTAATTTGACAGCAATAAACATTATAAATTAAAACTCTGAACTGTAGTATCTAGTAGAATTTTAAATCGCCATAGTCTATTTCCTTCAAAAAGCTCATACTTTTGACAGTAAATCATTAAATATTTCTTGCTCTCAGGGACTATTTTTTTATGTAACACAGCTTGCTGCATAAAATTTACATTTGAATATCTTTGGGAATACCAGTTTCTAGCTCTGGGAAGTGATCAAATGTTTTTCATGTCACTTCATTCAACAAATATCCAAATTTTGAGCAATTCAGTCACTTTGCTACCACTCTAGCTTCCTTTTTTAAAAAATCTTTTCATGTTAATTCTTCATATGAGCCTTCCTTTTTAGTACCTCATCTTCATGAATTTAAGCATAGTATTAGATTAGAAGCTGGACCACACCATTTTCCTGTTGAATTGTTAGATGTAACTGCAATTTATATTCTAATACTTTCTTCTTCTGCAATTCTCTCTTGTGGAATTCTCTTCTGGCTTCCTGTTTCCATATCAACTATGATATTAAAAAATTTAAATGTAGCATCAATCACCATCTTTTGTCTCCTTGAAACCTGTTCTTTTATTGTCCTCTTTTCACTCTCAGTAACCCTTTGCATCCTAATGGTTTTTATTGCTTTGCTTGGGGTGAAATGATTTTAAAATAATTATGTTCTTGATCAAAGTCATATTCTTTAACATCAATTTTCAATTTAAAAAGTAATTTATTTCTTTAATATGAAATTTCTCAATAACATTTTGTACTATAATAAAATATGCACTTCTGGAATATTTGTTTAGAAAATTCATTTTGAAGATACTCTCTGGTAAATTCTCCAAACATGAAGAAATTAAACCAAATGTTAATTAATGTCTACAAATATCATTCAAAACATTACATGTCTGTTTAAAGGCTAAACTAGTGTTCGATGTCTATGATTTAATTCTTTTTCCTTGTTTTTCCCTCAGCAAGAACTCAGGAAAGATAATGCTTAAACCTAAACCTGAAGAGGTCAACATTGCAGTGAGTGGGATAACATCATACCAGGGAAACTGTCCTACAAAGCAGCAGTTCTTGGGAAGAAGCTGTCTGAGTGAGACTTTTGAAGGGAATGGAGTCTCACTTGTGTACATGGTATGACAGGTTCCAGTTGTAAAGGGTCATGGCTGGGTGAACTAAGGAATGTAGCTTGTCAGAACATGTACCTATAGCAATATAGCAGAGAAAAGATTGCAACATTTCATCTGTGGGAAAGGGGTTTGTAAAGTGTAAAATTGAATTCACAATTGCCCTTCTCCTAGACTGGTTGCCAACAAAGACTAGAGAGCTCAGTTTGCTTTCCTATTTAACCCATAACTAGGGTAAATCAAGCAGCAACAGCCAGTTTCATGTTTTAATACAATCTTCAGGCCATCTGGAATGAAATCTCCATGGCTTGAAAATTGCATACAAGCATGAAACAGATTGTCGGTGCTTGATATTGACTCAGTGTCCACTTTTATATTTACATACACTCTATCCCTGATAATGTGCACTTTCACTCATAAATAGAACATACCTTAAAACTATATTTTATCATATATATATATATATATATATATATATATATATATATATATATATGCATACATTAGGTTGGAATGAAAGTTCCATTTTGTTGAAACAGTATTGACTTTCAATAACAAATTCAGTTGACATAAAAATAATCACATTGATCATATAAATTCTTTTGGTTTAAAGGTAAAAGTACTCTATGGCTCTTTTAACCTCTTCATAGTTGGTGTATCATTTCACTTCCAGAATATGAAAATTGAGTAATCCAACACAGCAAGGTAGCGAGAGAAGGGTGGATGAGGTAAAATTTCCATATTCAGAACACAAATCTTTTACTGTGTGTCTTTTGAATATGTGATCTTGTATTGACATGCTATAGTGATCAGTGAATTTTACTTTTAAAACAAACAAACTACTGAAGAACTTTCATTGTTTTATTACAATTCAACACTTCATAACAGGTGACACCATTCATCTTCCATCAAACAGAGAGCATTAGCTACTCAGGGTGTAAACCTATTGACTAAGTTTTGATATTAAGTTTACAGAGGTAGTTCATGATTGTCATATGGAACTGCTGTGCCTTTTTCCATGGATACTTTTAAGACTTTCTTCATTTATGGTTAGAAAATCTTGATTATCAATTGGAGTCAGTCACCTAGAATGTGGAGAGTCTTTGAGAGTAAGATTCTGCAATTATAACTGTTCCTGGCATTTCCTGACAAAATTTTCAAAACTTGGGTGAAAAATGGTGTCTCTCAGCAAGCCAGCAAGTATCAAGTAAAGTTGAATGGTGCTAGAGACAAAAAGAGAAAGAAAAGAAACCTCAGAAATACAAATACCTGATGTGACTCTCCTTCAAAACAATAATATCTTTCCCCCTTCCCTACCACCTTCCATTTATGCCATTAACTCTCCTCCGTACAGGTATGGTAAAATTAAATTAAGTTTTCATCAATATTTCATCTGTTTAGTATTACTTTTATCTTTTTTGTGTTAGATTTAATGATTTTCATTGGTTTTGTGTCTGAACTTGTGCTCAAAGTACTTTTGTAAAAGTTTAAATAAGCAATCATCTGGGGTCCAGATTCCTATGGGGGAAATTGTTTTGGTTTACAAACATTCCAAGTCATAAACAGCCTTCAAGAACAAATTAAATTTGTGAACCAAGGTTCCACTGTATATATATATATATATATATATATATATATATATATATGTTTTGAACAATAAAAATATTAAAAAATTAAAATTTTCATATTAATATTATGTATGGTAAAATTGAATTTTGAATTTTCACTTTGGTGGTGACCTTTTTCAAGAACTAAAACAATTTTTCATTACTTTTGAACAAAAGTTCATTGATTTATGACCCAGGAATCTAGGGTTACAAAAAGTCATAACCCTAGTGTATATACAAGGGGGTTTTAGAAAGTTCACAAAAAGGCCTAAAAAAATTATGTTTCCTCCAGTAACTAGTATATCTCATGTATTATTTAAACTTGGTCATTATCTCCTTTGAAATAGTCCCATTGGAAATGAACTCAGCAATCAAATCATTAATGAAAATTTAATTATCCTAGCTACTAATCATATGTGGTAGTTAAGAATAAGGTTGAAGTATACTAATATATATCCCTTTGTTTATGGCAGTGTACACAGTGGATTGAATGAAAAATGTTGTTTTCCTTCATAACAATACATTGGGGTATACAGCAAGTAAAAACAGGAAAAATTATACAACTTCTACCCTGTCTGTCATATTCACCTGACCTACCACTAAGCATATTTTTTTAATTGAATTTTTTTAATTTTTTAATCAATTCATCCCAAACAAGGCAATAATTCCAATAAGATGCAAGGTGTTACTTGGAGTGAAAGAGAATGAGAAGACATCAGAAGAAAGCTAAATCCCAATCCAAAACAAAAGTTTATTTATTACCTTTTTCAATTGCTGTAAAATGCTTTTATGAGGAAAACATTCTCCAAGGAAAACCAGACACAAGAATTTGTCAAAAACGTTTTCATGTCAAAATCTGTGGAATTTTACTCAAAAGTTATTGATGAGCATTCTGACAAGTCAGTGCAAATAATGATGAATATATAATTGAATAAAATTGTATTTTATTTTCTGAAGAACAATGTTGATAAACAAAAACGGAAATTATTTCTGACTCAACCTAATATATATATATATATATATATGAACATGGCCACAATGTACTGACCATCTTTGGAAAATAAAACATTCCTATAACTTTAGACACACATAAAACCCCATACATTCAGTTAAAAATAAAAAAGTTGCAGTTGATAATGGCTAAAAGAATAAGCAGAACATTTGTCCAGAAAAGAAAACACTTATATGAACACAAGAAAAATTAAATAAAAAGCTGTATAAAAGAGGAATTGCTGCTCAAATACAAATATATATATATATATATATATATATATATATATATATATATATATATATATATATATAATGCCTGTTTGTTGTTCTTTGTAAATTCTGTGATCTTTTGTATTTTTCAATATTTTTCATTATGTGCATGAATTAAATCTAATCTCAATTTAATATTGCTGTTTTGATAATTTTTATATTTTGTTTTTCTGCCCCACAAAATATATTCTCTTTGAATAACTCTCTTTGATCTGATGCCCATAAAGTACTTAGTAACTGCAATGATTTGAAATTAATTCAACTGATAACTTTAATTATATTGATAAATTATATATTGAAAATAATTTAACACATCACCTGATATTTGAACCACAGAATTTAAGATTTCATAAACAATTTACCATGATTCCAATTATCCTGTTTCTTGGGCTTGAAAAGTATAATTTCTTAAATTGTTGTGAATGATCACAGCAGCTAAAAAAGGGGCACATATTTCTGATATTGTTATGGCCAATAATAACTGTTTCTTCATTAAATATGTCTTTTAATTTTCACTTACAAATAACTATGGCTCCAATATTCTCAGAATACTATAATCCAGAAGTTAAAAATCATGTGTGTGCCAATTTCAGTTCTGTGCCATTTCCCCACAAGATGTAGACGATCATTGCTCTCCACAATTTCCTATCTTTTGTAACTCTTAATAAATTTTGTCTTTTTTCTATTTCTCCTAAACCATGTTCCACCATCCATTTACTCAAGCTCATTAAGTATGTTATGTGTTGTTTTCTTTTGCCCCCTCTTGCCCTCTTTCTGTCCTGTGAGTATCAGATTTTCCAAGCACTCCTTCCTTGTTATTTGTTATTGCTGAAGTTGAGACTGAAAGGGGTGGTCAAACACACACAAACACACACACACACACACACACACACACACAAAGATATGTACATGCTGGTTAGTATAACATCAAGAATATTATAACATTTTAGGAATTTGGGAATGAAAATAAGCATTTTGTTATTAACCATGTTTAGTCTTACTCTTTTATTTTCTTCATGACAAGACAATATAATTTTGATCGAATATTCAACAATAGCATATATGGACTAAGAAATGATATTTCTCAGATTAAAATGTAGCCTTTCCATTTTAAATGACTCCAAAATTAACAAGATTAAACATTTCACACTTTTAGCTAACATATTTAGAAGATCAATTAGAAACCTGAGATATTAGCAAGATTTTATGTGTATAACATATGGTGTTTCACTGACAAAAGAATTTGCATTACGAAGATAATTATTTCATAGATTTGATTCGTACAATTAGAATGGCTGATAAAACTTTTAATGCTGACAATATTCTAAGTGTTTCTCAAACTTCTGCAATGGAAAACATTGAACGTTAATGAGTTCAGTTCTTGTTAAGAAATGTTTAATGTAGAAATGTATGAGATGTAAATTACTTTTGAGACTTGTTTGGCTTTTGTTTTCATCATTTTGGGATTTCTCATTTTTTGAATGTGCTGTTTTGGGTGTTAGGGTAAAAGAAGTCTTTTATGATTAAAATGGAACAAACACTCCATATAGAGTCTGACATACATGTGTACATATTTTTAGTTATACTAGGACCTGTTAGTGTGCATATAAATGTAAGTATACTTATCTACATACATGCATACAGACATATGTATAAATATAAATATATATATGTATATATATTTTTTATATTTATATGTATATATATATGTGTGTGGGTGATTGTGTGTGTGTGTCTATGTATGCGGCGTCGCCTCTCTCTGTCTTTTTTACAAATACTTTCATGGCAATTGTTTCGAGGAGCTGCATTCGCTGGTTCCCAGACTTCATTCACACCTCTCACCTGTGGAACTCCCTTCCCTATTCCAGTTTCCCTGAGAGCTATAATCTCCAACTATTCAAATGTAATGTCAATCGACATCTCCAGTTGCCTTGATCTATCCACTATCCTTCTCCTCATCCTTTCCTCTATCACTCCTATCTGATCTTACTCCAAATCTTCTGTAACCCCTTGTGTCCTAGTGGCTTCCCGCCTTGCTTGGGGTGAAACGCTTAAAAAAAAAATGAAAAAATATATATATATATATGCACAACCACACACATATATGTATATGTACAAATATAAAAGTGGACAGTGAGTTCAACACCAAACACCGACAGTCTGTTTCATGCTTGAATGCAATCTTCAGGCATGTTGTCACTTGGTGTTGACCTCAATGTCCAATTTTATATTTACATATGCTCTATCTCTGATATTGTGCCCTTTTAAATATAAATATAGCATACCTTAAACTATATATATATATATATATATATATATATATATATAAATTTAATGAAAAACAGACCACTTTTAAGGTACCATTACAATGGTACCTTAAAAGTGGTCTGTTTTTCATTAAATATTAGTTCTATTCTTCACATTGAGCTCTCAGGTTTCATCCTCCTCCAATTCAGTTTACCAAGTTCTTCATAACTTAACTTAACTATATATATATATATATATATATATATATATATATATATATATATATATCCAAAACAAAAATTGAGATAATGGAACAAAGTGGAAAAGATTTTTTAATGACAATGTGTTTTGTCAATGTGTATTAGGTTTTGCATGTTTAGTTCAGTATGAAAGACAGAACTGTGTCTAAAGAAAATGTGTTAGGACTATTGAAATTAAGAGGGTCAATAAATAAAATTTCTTTAACAAGTCTAATGAGCAAAAAGTGTTTTTTTTTAAACCTGTTGTATATATATATATATATATATATATATATATATATATATATATATATATATATATATATATATATTTGCATATATATATATATATATATATATCAGTTTATATATATATATCAGTTTG